ACTAGGTGTCAGGCTGTGAGCTCTGGGGATGCAGAAGTGAGCAGTACAGAGGCAATATCAAAGTCCATTATTTAAAAAATAAATCACCCTTATATTCATTCTACAGGTATACTTCTCAAACGCTTGTACCAAAGACTTCTTGGTGCTTCAAAGATAGAACAGAAGGTAACGTTAGTGACCTCAAGGAACTTGCAATCTAGTTGAGGACAAAAGAACGAAGGATACAACAGCTGCGTAAGAAAAGATCTGAGGGTCCAGGACAGATGCAGACAAAAAAAGTAGAAGAGGAAGAAATCAAAAAGAGAAATATGATCACAGCAGGAGACCTGAGCGTGAAGAATGTGGTTAGGTCAGAGAAATAAAGAAAAAAGCAGTCAGAAAAGCAGAGCGCGAACAAGAGGGTACAAGTGGAAATAAGCATGTCATTTTAGGGCGGTGAGATTCGACTAGGAGGGACAGAAGGTTCAGGTTGGAAAGAAGAAGGAAACAAAGGTGGTAAGTAAATTTTGGGCAAGACAAAGCTACCTCAAAATTAGGTTGAGAGGTTAAACATTCCGTCCAGAGCAAGGAGGCGGGTGGGGCCCTGGAAATGATCTGAACTACGGGAAATAAGTCTTGGCTTTACACTGAAAAAACCTGAATTCAACACGGTGTTCTTGAGAGACAATCATTGGAGGAGAGTTCTGAGAAGAGTTTTAAGAATGTTGTTGTGGTCAAAGTGCGCAGAACAGAGAAAACTCAATTCCAGAGAGACCAGGATGCAGACTATAATCATCCTAGAGAACCATGAAAGCTGTGCCTTTGCTCTAAGGGCAGGGTGAAGAAAGAAAAGGAGGTGTGGCAGCTGGCTTAGAGGAGAAACTAATAAAAGAATTAGGATTTGGTGCAGTGTCACAGAGGAAATACGAAAGGAGTCGGGACCAGCAGTTAACGTAATGGCTATGCTGCGGGACTCCCACGTAGTCAACTGCGATTCGAGTCCCAGACCCGGTGGTTTAAACTCACACCGGGCGTGTGTGTGTGCGTGCCCAAGATTCCGAGAGGAGAATGGATTGTGGCGTGGCCATACCCCCTGGGGGGGGATTGGGTGATTTCTCGCTCTGTCTGTCTCTGTCTTTCTGGTGAGCACACGTGCCCTATAGCACAAAAAGAAACAAACAAGAAAAACCACCTCTCCTCCCCCAAAAAAGAAAGGAAGGAGTCAAGGATGGTCCCGAAGTCTCCAGTCTGGGTGATGAAAGGAATATTCCAAGTATTACGAAAAGGAGAATCTGTCTTGACTCTGTCTCTTCAGCGTGTGCACGTGTCCTATAGCAAAAATCGCTCTTAAAAAAAAAAAAAAAAAAAAAAGAACCTTTTCATCATAAAAAGAACAAATTTCGCAGAGAATATAAAAAGTTTATAAAACATATATAACCTTTAGCTTGACAGTAGGACCCCACCATTGAAAGTCTATTAAGCAGATGGATAGAAGAAAATTGAGTTTGGGTCAGTAACAAAGATTTATAAGATTTAAGGATAGATAATATCTTGACATTTAAGAATTTTTTAATAGAATACTTAGAAAATAAAAATATGAGCTATTAAACAAAAGTAAAAGAAGTCTTATAAAGAACAAATAGAAACAGATCTTCACAGACTATTTTTCTCAGCTATGGTACTTAGGGGATCCGATTCATTATCACAATACTGAACGAATAAACTTCTGTAGAAATTCAACATATGGCCTATTTACATAACAGGCATCACAACTCCAAATGAGCCATTTTGATGTGTCAAGGAAATAACACCTTCATGGCAGACAACTTCAAAAAAAGGAAGAAGAAAAGAAAGGTTTGTTTTTCTTCTATAATTATGTTTATTGGGTTTTTAGCTGTTTGCATCATAAAAATCAAATTTCAATTGTGTGATTACATGCTCAGGTGGAACAGTGATGCAATGAATTGGTTAGGTGAATTACGCACAACCATTCAAAGATCAATAAACAGATCCAACCACTGAAATCTGTCCATCTTTTATATTTGCTATCATATACTGTATTATGCCTATAAAAGCTACTGTCCTATGAACAGAAATGATAACAACCATGTGGTCCAATGATCAAAAATAACAGTGAAAGTGCTACAGAAAATGACTAGGGAAGAAGTACTACGGAGCAGTGAGTAAGCAGCACCATCTAAAGCATACAAACACAGTCCACTTTCTCATAGAGGAGACAGGTGGTGGCAGCCTACATCTTATCAGGAGCAGCCTCCATTTCTTCCCTCTTGCCAAAATCATAACCAAAAGTTCTTCTGCTGTCTCACCTCATCAGATGCTAAGTAAAACTGTATAAAGGTAGAATGAAAGCCATCCGTGCACCTCCAACACACAACCATTAATGAATACATGTTCTTAATGACAGCAGTGTTGTAATCACAGACTGAGAAAATGATAAAAAATTAGGACCTAGAGCGAGACATTTCTAAAGCTTTACTTCAGATGTTAAGTGTTACCATTTACAGGGTAAACTGATCTGTAAGATGCTTCAGATTGGCAGCACATCAAGACTGCCATGGCCTGGCCTAAGTATATTCTTTCCTGATCATTACAGGCTGGTAAAGCAGATTCACAAGCCCATAGATACCTCTTTCCACAATGGACACCTGAAAAATCAGTGCAAGTGGAGAAACCATCAACTGAAGAATTTTCATTAGGGGGCTCCCTAAAACAAAATGAATATAAAAGGAATCTTAATCATTTTGCCTAAGTGAGCACATTAAACTAAGATGATTCTTAGAAAATCATTTAATATTTTCAGGGTTAAAGAAAGAAAATTACCAATTAATATACTACTTTCCCAGATGTTCAATTTTCTACCAATCTCATAAATGTCCTCTGTATTCAAATCATTGTCTTTTTATGCAAATTATCTTTTGATGTTTGTATGTGTATGTGTATGTGTGCGTGTATTTAAATAAACATGGACACAGAATTTGACGTGTTTTCTGTTCTGGTGCTCCATAAAATAAATTTCAACACAGCTTGAGTTTATTCCAAAACTCTAATTAGAGACTGCAGTAGTATTTGCCACATCCAAATAGAAAACCGTTCCTAAAGTTAGTTATTCCCCAGTTAAAGATCCAACCAATATTATCATACACAGATATTTTTAAACAGTGCAGTTACTTGATAATACTGCCTCTAACAACACACTGCCTTCTGGTTAAGTAACACAACTTCACCAGGCCTATAAAATATACAGAAGGCAACTTTTATACTTTGTTTTCAGAGTATCTTTAAAAAAATCATTGGTTTTGTTACTTAAGTAGTTCCCTCCCCCCAGAAGTAAGCGATTTCTAACTTCCTGTCCATTCTTTTCCCTGCCATATTACACATCTACTTAATTTATGGAAAACAAAATCAGGGTGGCAATGAATCGTTCCATTAAGACACACTAGAAGGATGTGATAAAGGTCACACGATCTTCCTCTTTCAAATACTGGCATAAAATCTCTTTGTCTGCGCAGGTTCTAAAATTTGTCTTTTTTTTTTTTTTTAAGTCTGTGGGCTATGAGGCGATCTGGCGAATATTTTAACATTTTAATAAGCAAGGGAAAATATCACATATAACATTTTATGTAAAGAGTCTGTGCTTGAAGTTCAAGGTTTTTCAGCAGTTCTCAAGCAAGACACTATAATACACTCAAAGGAAAACGCCGCACAGAAAGAATTTTTAATGAGAGTTAGCTCTCCAAAACCTCGACATCGCTAAAACCAGGACTGCTAGGAACTGACAATCTCTTAAGTTCACACACACAGCCACCCCCGGAGATCTGGACGCCTTCCCTGCGGGAGAGGGGACGCTTCGGTCTCGTCCCGGTCCAGGTAGTCTCAGCCCTCCACCCCTGGGTCCGCAGTAAACATAAACCATGGAGCAGAGAGCGAGCGAGCAGGACGATCTTCCGAGACACGCACAAGTCCAGCGCGTGGAGAGAGCGGGAAGGAGCTTCCCAGCGCCTCGGAAACCACCCTGTTTTCGGCTTCAGTTTGCCGCCTGCGGACTCCGGTCCACCCGGGCGCCGTGGCGAGACCGCTTCGTCCCGCCGCCAGGGCGTTCAGCGTCACCCTGCCACCCACCCCACCTGCCATCCCGCAGGTGGAAGGCTGGAGGGACCAGCACACGGGGGCTGCCCAGCATCTCGCTCCCGCCCGGCGCCGAGGGGCGCGGATTTGCCCGGACCCGTGGTCCCCGCGGCCGGCCGGGATCCCAGGATTCCGGGATCCAAGGCGGGATGGGATGGTCCCAGCTGACGCCGGCAGCAACGCAGCTC